AAATGGGATATTAAAATTATAAACACATATTCTTTCTCTTTTCCTAAAGAATATTTAAATAATAGTAAAAAGATATATAAATGATATGATAAATATTTATTTATTAATTTATATTTATAATATATTTATAATATATTTGTAATATATTAATAATATAATAATAATATATTTATAATATATTAATAATAATAATATAAAAAATATATTTTAGATATTTTAGATAGATTTTTAGAAGCTTGCCTGGAAAACTTTTTTGCTTAATGAAAACGTCATCTTAGACAATTTTTAGATAAGATGACATATATTTTTCATCTAAGATAAAGATAAAGATACTTTGTATTTCTTCATCTAGGTAAAGATAAAGATGATCCATTTCTTTATCTAGATGATTATCTAGATAATTTTATTTAGATACCAGCAAACATTGCATTCATTAAAATTGTTTAACATTACATTGTTCTTCGAATTTTGTTTTTATTTAAAGAAACGGATTTCTATATGTACGTTTGATTGAGTTTTATATACATTGGAGTATCGTAAATATAGTATCATAATAATCGGCATAATATAGTATCGTAATAATCGAAGTATTGGTATATATATATATTTTGTATCGAAGTAATCAGGTTATTTGATCATATAAGAGAATCGATCTTCGATATTAATCTGCCGATATTAAGGATTACATATATTATATATTTGTACCAGTTAAGCAATAACTTCCTTTTTCATGGAGCAAACGTGCCGTCAGAATGAATCTCTAGGCGAATGTCCTATAAGCACTTTCACTCGCGTACACTTCCTCGAGAATGTCGTTGTTATTTGCTACTATCCTCTCTGGGAGAATTTAAAGCTACTATATTCATTCATGATAATCTATTCTCCATTTTTATTGGGCACACTGTGTAACACATAAATATACTTCGAATTTTTTATATACTCTTTGATAAAGAAAATAGAAGACGCTATTATGTACTGATATATTATTATCTTTTCTATTTTTTCATTTTTAGATAACAATAATAACAAGAAATTTATAATCATTTACTTATAAAAATCACTTACGGACATTTTATTGTTTTCTATTATATTCTATTATATTCTACGTATTTTAATATATTATGTTATATTTAATAATGACATATATTGGTAATGTCAAATAATTTAACAAAGTTATGTTATATTATAATATATTGATTTCTTATTATATTTAATATTTATATATAATACTATTAGAATATATATATATATATATATATATATATATATATATATATAAGATAAGATATATATATATATATAAAAGAAAATGAAACTAAATAAATTTCTTGAAAAAAAACGATAAAAATAAAAAATAAAAATCTTTTTCTTTTACGAAAATAAAATAACTTTTTTTTTTATTAATATTTTAGTAATAGCACGTAATAGTAGAAAATGAATAAAGACATTTTTCAAGAAATTTATTTAGTTTCATTTTCTTTTTATTTCATTTTCTTTTCACCTTTTGCTCTTCCTTCATCAGAGATTTTTGAGCGATAACTTCTTAGGGAAGCATTTTTCGACCCATATTATAGGAAATTTTTTGTTCAGAATTAAATTTTCTATAAGATCTCAAAGTTTGACTGGAACGTTCGGGCTCTGTATATGTGAATACAGAAATAATATATTTACAGTAATAAACATAACTAAAATCGAAGAAATGTTAGATTTGCTAATACAAGTGGAATATGACTTTGTTCGATGATACTCGAGTTATCGGCACAACAGTTAGTTATTGGAGTGATATTTTTTGGAGACACGACCGTTACCTGAGACCCGGGATCTCGAGAACGCGTGTGCGTATCCCTGAGAAAGATTTCTCCAGTTTCCGTTGACCCACTGACACTGAATTATCGCGTGCGTGTGCGCGCGCGCTCCTCTGCAATTGCAATTTCTCACGCCACGTAGCAACGGAAAGTAATCGTCTGTACCTTTTTATATTTTTTTAGTAGAATGACAATCTCATGTATCTTGTATACAATAATCCATTATTGATAAAATAGATTTGTTCTACATTATCAATAATGGATTATTGTATACAAGATATTGATAGATATTGATAGGGATAGATTGTACACAAGATTGTACTGATGACTTCATATGAAAAAATAAATTGAAAAATTCTTTTCAAAAAAATGTTTTAATATTTTTTCCTGCACAAGTTTATAGTAGAATCAAGTTAATGTAATATTAAATATATAATATTTTGTTATTTAATTATCCTCAAAATTATGCATGATCATATAGCTATTATTTATTAGTCTATCGCTTTCAATAATGTTATTTTGTTTGTAAATTTTCAAGATATTTTATACATTTACAAATTATACAAGGTGTCCCAAAAGTTCCGGACCGTAAGATAATCAAAAAATGAATATTTTACAAGATATTTTAGACGGTTTATGTAAAATTAACAAATGATTTCAAGCCTCATAATTCGGAAAATACTTAATGAAAACTAACTTAATTATAGTGTTTTGGAAAGCTTTCGACGTAAGCTACCAGAATATTTAATAAAAAATAGGGAGTTCTATTTAAGAAATTGACGGTGATCTTCACGTGACTTTCAAATGACTCTCCCATGTCAAATCATTGCCACTATCTGATGGCCTTCAAGCCATACAACTTTTGTCTGAAACATTTCTTTCTAAAGTGCATAGTTTATGAAATATTCGACCGGTTCGGGACTTTTGGGACACCCTGTATATGTATATGTATGTACATTGCAAACAGAGAACAAAAAAAGTATTTGATGTAGCCAGTTGCAGAGGCTACTCTCTCTTCGCTTTATATCGACTATAAGCATGCGGACATCGAAAGGAGGAAGCGTGCACGAATAAGTACCTTAGTCTGGCATTCGGGAAACTCGATGTGGTTCCTGGATGTCTAACCTGCGGTTTGATTTTGCTTGGCCCGCAAATGCCTACCGGGTAGCTGAGGCACTAACATTCACTTACGTGTATTATTATTGAAAGTGGCGATTGGCAAGTCAGTGATTCTCATTTCATTAATCATTTATATATGTGTACGTAATATTTTTCAAGATATATTTGAAATGTATATATTTATATTTGTCGCTACTTTATGAGCCGGTAATATATTTTTGGAAAAGAAAATATACAATTTGTGAGATGTTTTCCAAATGGATGATATTTTATCAAAGATTTAACTCAATTAAACTATATCTGAAAGCGTAAAAGATGGAACATTTTCAATCATATAAAAATTTGATATTTTTTATGTATATATGTTATCTAGATTATATTTTAAATTGTTAAATTTCATATTCACAAATATTGCTCATTGAAGTTTTACTAAGTTAATTAATAATTATCTATATTAAAGATCAATCATAAACACGTGCGCACGCATGTATTTCTTTTTTGTATGTTTAATGTCATCATGTGCTACAATCATTTATAATATTTGATTATATTAGAGGTGTTGTTATTTCGTTTGATTTTAATTTCTGTGAAATGTATATAAAGTTAAAGCAATCACAAGATTATATTGGATATGTTATCATATTTTTATTTCAGTTTCTAAAATATATGATTAATGGAAACAATTTAAAGTTGTGTGAAAGTAAAGATCAATGTTTAGTGTACAAGATCCAGACTGGAATTAAAGACCGGTCACACCGAGTAAGTGGATTCCCGCGTTTCAGAACACGGTAAATTTATTCGTGCTTGAGATGTTTCTTTTTTTTTCTTTTTTATTTCTCCCAGAGAAAGTATACATATGGCTACTTGGAAGTATTCGGAATGTCATACGTCAAATATTTTCGAGAATTTATTGGACAATTTTAATGTTTATGCTAAAAATTTCTTTAAAATTTATGCTAAATTTCTTTTTGCTGTTTAATTAATAATTTGTTAGAGAAAATTGTCACTATAATTATTTTGGGAAAATTGTCACTATAATTATTTTACTAAAAACAAATGTAATAATTTTTCTAAAAAATCAAAGGTATTTAAACTTGTAAAGTAGTAAAATTGTTTTGTAAAAATTTAATATTATATTTTATATTATATTATATTATACAGTTCAGTAAAAAAATCATTTTGTTTTCAAATTCAAGAAAAAGAGAATTCCTTACAGTTTTTTTATATTGAATATAACTTTTTTTCTCTGAAATGTATTTTATCACATCATAATTTTGAAGAATTTAAAGTAATAAAAAAATATATTTATTAGATTACATTTTTTCGATAATATCATTATTTACATATTCAGCTACATTACTTAATTCTTTAATTACGAATAACTAATACGGATATGTATAATATCGTCTATTGAAGATAGATAAAGGGTCTATTGAAAATAGTTAAATAAAGGGTTAAATAGAAATTGTAATTTTATTTCACATGAGATGTTCCATTTTTACTTATAATATCTAATAATATTTCATTTATGTAATTCTTAAAAAATTAAATTGGTTGCATACCAAACAATATTTACATCATGATTTATTACGTTCTATGCTATGGATTCATTAGAATTGCATCATACGCAATGTTATGAATGGAAACAAATAGTTATCTTAATTAATTTAAATTACACACTTTACCTATTGCTATAAATATATTCTTTCTGGATTTATATCTGGTATTTATATAGACTAATAAGAAAAATCTATTATTATGCGCATTTTATGTTTTAATATCTCTTTAGAAAGATAAATTAACGTGTTAAACTTTTAACATCTAATTTAACTCAATAATATTTCTTTTAAGATTAATTTCAATAATGTATAACTTATTGTTGCTATATTTAATAATTTAGATATTTAGAAGATGCTTTAGTCTCAATATACATATAGATATAATTATTCCAAAATAAATATCTATATAAAATACGTATAAATATAAAAAATATTTATGCATTACTTTTGTTTCAACAATCCTTTATAAATTTGAATGAACTAAAAAGAAACGATGTAATCTTTATTTTGATTTCAGAAGCAGTCTGGTGTTGCTGTGTACACTAATCATCGTGATGCCAGCGATATTATCGCCAGTCAATCTATTCGATATTTCTGGTAAGCGCATTTTACTGCAAAAAAACAGCATTGCGTTAATATATACATTACTTATTCATATTGTATGTACGCATTTTTGAATGCGATAATATAAATTTTTTAATTTCGTCATAAATTTATGTTATTCTTTACATAATGTTTGTAATTTTAATATCTTAACGATAGTTGAGATAAATGTACTTAAGAATATCGTATGTCAATACGCGATACTCTTAAAAAAAATATATAATTTCTTATATTTCTATTGTGAAATAATTTCAAGTCTTCTTAAAGTCTTCTTAACTTCTAATCTCTTTAAGCATTAAAAGCTCCTTCACATGTATTTTTACGAATATTAATATGGCGAGAATAATAATTTAAAATAGAATATCTTCTAAAAGAAATACGTTTTTCCATGCAATATTTGTATAGCATGTACGTTACTTTCCATGTAAATAATATTTATATATATATGAATATTATTTCATTTATTATTCCGTCAAATCTTTTCGAAAGTATTTTGGTATTAATATACTTAGTTATTTGCATACAAATATATCTCATAAAATAAATTTTAAAAAAATATGTGTGTGTGTGGATAAGTAATGTATGTACAAGAATATATTATTTCGAAAAAGAAATATATGAAGAAAATTAATTACAATGCCAGTATACCATTGATATTTACATAAATTAATTGGCTATCTAGCATTATATTTTAGCAGGAACATTGAATTTATTTTTATACGAAAATACGTGCTGACTAATCTTGTAATTGTAATTCTTGATGACTAAAGTTTTATGTAGTTTTTTAAAAAAAGGAAAAAATTATTAAAAAATAACGTAAATATATAGGATTAATCACAAAATTATTTTTGAATTGCACTGACTATATGGTTTTGTTTTGTCATTCATCCGGGAGTATATTGCCTAAATGCACATTATGTAACGAAAGAAACGGGGTTGGTATTACAAATTTAAAGAAAAACAAGACAATAGTGAAACTGTTCTCACGTTAGCACGTAAAATCAGACATAGAAAATATTCGAATCAATGTAACTTTGTAACGTCAAAATTTATGTCAAAAATTGAAATAAGGAAAATAAGGATTTCAATAAGTACACAATTCTTGTTTACTTTTAACCAAATGTGATATCTTTCGTTTGTGTATTTTTATGTGTTTTGTACATGCGTGATTTGGCAATTGATGACAATTTTCATTCTAAAGCAACATATGTACGTTTACAAAATATATGTCAAAGATTTTTTACTTCTAATTCTATCGTTATATTTTAAATACATAGGGAAAATATATACGCTATTACAAATTTTTAATTGTAAGTTTTTTTTGCAAAAGAAATAATTATATTGAAATAATAATATTTTAATAACTTTAAATTAAAATATACCATTGTCTGAAACAAATTTATTATTAAAAATTGTATGCTGAAATTTTTTTATAATTATAATATATTATTATATTACATATTATTAAAATGTAAACAATTTTACACGATATCAGTATATATGATTTTCTGGTTTTTATATTATACGTTAAGTATTAAAAGACGTAATTATTTATATATTTTTATTTACAGAGTATGTCTATGGAATAGATCATGATTTACAAGCAAGGGCACGTTCAGCCATCGAAGCAGAGAGATTCATCTATCGATTGTAAGTTATTCTGTATTTCAAAGAGATGTTTGTAAAGAGATGCTTGTGCAAGTATTAAAATTCATTAAAAATGCATCAAAAAAATAAGAAAAAGCATATATTCTCAAGTCATGTCATATGATTAACAACGTAATATAGATACATGTTATTTACTGATACATGTTATTTACACGAAGTCGATATAAAATTTCGCAAAAGTGGTTTATATAATTTCGCAAAAGTGGTTTATATAATTTACTTATTTCAATAAAATTCATGATAGAAGGAATCCGAAGGTCATAGCAAGCGCCGCCGAATATATAATGAAGTTAGGTCACGATGAGACTGAGAAAGAAAAAAGATGTCATTGTAAGCATCAAGGACAGACAGATCTCTCTCGACTGTCTATAATTAATGAGAAATTGATGTTCTGATGCGTAAAAAAGGGGTGTTTGTCTTCTAGCCGGATGCAATTTCTCTATTATTTATGCAAGATATTATTAGGGAATAAATATCATAAAAATTCCTGTATTAATATTACGATATCAATTACTTTTTTCTAAATCTCTGAAATTTGTAAACAAAAGACATTTATAATATAAATAGAATATAACACAACAGTTTTATAAAAATATTCATATATTAATTCTGATTTTAATTCTGATATTTTTATGTAGGATACATTTTTATATAAAATTAAATACTTACTAGATTATCAAAATAACTCATTTTAAATCATATATATAAATATATATATTACATATGAATATAAAAATATATTTATTCAAATAATTTATAAGAATAAATATAGAGCTGTATTTGCGAATGTGATTTTGATAATTATATCTGTGATATTACAATGAAAATGATAATGTGCATACTTTGCGTCATGTTAAATATTGCGTGAAGAATATGTGATATTTTAAAAACATATTTTACAAAAATATGTTTTTCGAATTTACTCAATGTGTCTTTTGCAGAAATAAATGAGAGAAAGAGAGAGAGAGAGAGAGAGAGAGAGAGAGACGAAAAGAAAATTTCATAAAAATTTTATAGAAACATATATGAAAAATATATTTATATACTGTGTCAATAATATTCATATATGTCAATGATATTTACAGAAATTAGTCAGACAGTCGGCGCGTCGACTAACAATTTGCATAATGTTTTATATTTATGATTAAACATTTATTAACAGTAATTAACGGCCGAACGCACAAATCTATATATCAAGCGATGTCAAATACATAAAAAACTGATAAAAAATTCGAGCGTTGAGAATTACTATTCTCGACGCAGCGTTATCAAATAGCTTATTCGGAATTTTACGTCAAATTGACATCAAATAAACTTTCAAAAACTAAAGCCATAAGATTAAAATATTTCAGAAATTAAAGCCGTAATTAAAAATCTAACGGCATTTTTCTATAATGTAAATACAAGCTTTCGATTGTGATCGGTTTGAATAAAATCGGTGCAATCAATCCCGAGAAATGATAATCGCATGTCAGAATTGTGACATTTTTTATTTTCTTTCAAAGCGATTTTGTTCCTCAAGCTGCATTCATACCGCGCATCATATATGATTATCTCTTTGGTGTACAAAAATACTTTAAGAGTCAAAATCATTTGTATTCATGTGCGTGCAATATGTGTAATATGTGCATATGTGTGTGTATACGTGTGAGAAAGGTGTGTATACGTGTGAGAAATTAATTTATCAAAAATAAGTTATAATAATTTTTCTAAAAATCCTTTAGAGTGTCTTTTTTTTATCATGCGGGAGATACCGACTGCATAATAAATTGATCCATACATAAATGTCAATTATTTAGATCGAAGGCCCGAATATAATGTGTACAATTAAAGTAAATTAAAAGCTGAAATTATGTAAGTTATAAATTATGTATTATGATTTATTATTATTATTATTATTAAAGCTACGTATTTATTATTATATTATTACAATTATTGTTGTTTAAAATAAATGACACAAAAAATATTAAAATAAGAGATTTAAAAATTAAATCTGTACCGACGGAAAAAACATGTATTAGTGGGAATAAATATAAAATTATTAATGAAATTTTTCATGAAGGTAAAAATATAATTGATAGACATTATACAAAAGGTACTGAATGGCAATAAATTAATGATTTAAAAATACAAAAATGCAGTTGGCCTCGAAATATTAAAAATGCATATATATTTTTTGCAGAAATGATATAAATTTTTATAAAAAGCAATTGTTAAAAGCGATGAGATCCCTTTAAAAAAAGCTTTATAAAGGCTTTATAAAAAATACGCCAAATACATAAAAAAAATATCTTTATCTTTAAAGAAATCTAAAAAAATGATAAAAATAAAAAATTTAAAAACTGAAATGAGATCAATATTATTAGCCAAGTAGAATAAATTATATGATATTAATTCGTAATTGATACTAAATGAGTTAAGATTACTTTATATCCTAAAGCACCTTTTTCATGATGTATATAATTTAAAAAAAAGTTTTACACAAATTCTAAATCGCATAAACGACCTTCAGGTCGAAGTAAGATATGAAAACTTGAACAGTCTGTCCTTGACAGCTTGTGGGCCAGTAAGATCCGAGGCTTTCTAATTCCGGCTTTCTAATTCCGGCTTGCAACAATCAAACTTGAATTGCAAAAAAAATAAAAAAAACTCACAAAGAAAGAGAGTTTACTTTGCCTAATCTCTATGTGATGATTTCCAGGTAATACAGAGTAGACAAGATATATAAGTTCGAAATTTAGTTACGCGCGCGCGCGGTCCGTAGTTTAATTTCAAATTTTATATTGGGTCCATCAAAAATCTAGCTTCTTCCTGTTTTAATCTATATGATTTGAATACGGAGCACGCCAAGTTTTTATATCTTACTTCGACCTGAAGGTCGTTTATGCGATTTAAAATTTGTGTAAAACTTTTTTTTAAATTATACAGGGTGTTTTAAAAGTTCCATTTTAAAAGTTCCACCCTCATAACTTTTTTAATTTTGATTGTAGAAAAAAATGTTTCAGACAAAAGTTGTATGGCTTGAAGGGAGACATAAAATGGTGTCATTAGTTGAAGGTTATGTGAAGATCACATCCAACTTTTTAAACGAAACATCCAATATGTTTTTACATGCTCTTATAGTTCATCTCGAGAGCTTTTCAAAACACTATAATTAAGTTAGTATTCACTAAGTACATTCCGAGTTATGAGGCTTGAAATCATTTCTTAATTTTACATAAATCGTAAAATATGTAGTAAAATATTCATTTTTCGATTATCCTACCTTAATACTTTTATGTACAAAATAATCAGAGGAATCAATTGGTGTAAAGAAAACACATAATTGTTTCGAAGAAAAAATATGGAATTGTTAAATGCAAATTACATATTTTTTCTTAGAAACAATTATGTGTTTTCTTTATACCAATTGATTTCTCTCATTATTTTGTACATAAAAGTATTAAGGTAAGATAATCGAAAAATAAATATTTTACAAGATATTTTACGATTTATGTAAAATTAAGAAATGATTTCAAGCCTCATAATTCAGAAAATACTTAATGAAAACTAACTTAATTATAGTGTTTTGGAAAGCTCTCGAGATAAACTATAATAATTTGCAAAAGTATATAGAGTGTCTCGTTTAAAAAGTTGGATGTGACCTTCACGTGACCTTCAAGTGACTCTTCAATGTCAAACTAATGACACCATCTTATGTCCCTCTTCAAGCCAACTTTTGTCTGAAACATTTTTTTCTACAATCAAAATTAAAAAAGTTATGGGTGGAACTTTTAAAATTGGACACCCTGTATACATTATGAAAAAAATGCTTTAGGAATTAAAGTAATCTTTATTCATTTAGTATCAATTACGAATTAATATCACATAATTTATTGTACTTGGCTAATTGATCTTATATCGGTTGTTAAATTTTTTATTTTTATCTCTTTTTTAGATTTCTTTATATATATATATACATATACATATAATATGAAATCGTTAAAAATACAGATGAAGACACAGTGTCGAGAATGTAACCTGTTAACATTATAGATGTAAAAAATATTAAGATATTGGATATTTTTCAGGTAAGATACGCATTTATATTATAATTCATAATGTTATTATATGTATAATGGTTTCTTGTTCTAGAACTTGAATAAAATTATTGCTAGAGGGATTAAACCGCATCAGTTATATGCATATTTACAAGAATGAGTAAATTTTAACTTTTTTAAGAAAGAAAATATTTTTTATGATAATATTTGCGATTTACTTGTATTATTTTGATGATCACCGCTAAATAACAAAGAAAATTATCAAATCTTTTTAAAATAAACAGAGAAAATTATCAAATGTCTTTGAAATAAACTTTTCACACAAATAAATACATACATGCATACATATATGAGTACGTGTATGAGTACGTGCATGGGTGCGTACGTGTGTATGTTGTGTGTGTGTATGTATCTTTCGTTCTCTCTATAATTTTCATATATATGTTACATATATGACTTTAGAGAGATAAACTTCCAAAAGTAACAAATACACACACACATACACACACAAAATTTATGTTAAAATTTATATACATAAAAGAAGGAAAAAATATTGAAATCAATTGATATTGAATTTAATATCAATTTTACAATTAATAAAGAAAGCATTTTACTATTTATTTATTCTCAAATAAGTGCATGTTACAAAGCAAAGAATAACTCGCATATTAGCAGCTCCATTAGTTTTTTTTTTTAATGAGACAAAACAGGTTTTTCGATATGTAGTTATCGACATTAGTGACTGATATCGCGTCAATACGCACAAATTTCCTCTTGTGATCGGCAGCCTTCTCGAGGTCGAGGAAAGGGAACTTAACCGCCAGCAATGGTCGTATGAGAAATCTTCCTCGTGACTGAAATGTTGACACTGATCGATACCTTTCCTCGACCATGAAAGTAAAAGCGCACGGCAAGCGCAAGAAAAAGAGAAAAATAGAACAGGAAGAATGTTGAAGAATGTGAGATTGCATTCTTCCACATCGAATGGAAGAACGCGTGCAAATTGTGATCTTCCTAGAGAAGAAAAATTTATCGTGTTTACGCTGCCATGACAAATTTCGTTAATAATTATATGGTTAGCAAAAAACGATTTATCATATAATGCTAATCTTTAATTTGCTAAATTATTTTATTTAATTGGTAAATTGATTTTTATTTCGTCAAAAATTGTAATGATGATTCTGCTGTAAAATACATTTTTGCTTTATAGCAAAATATCTTTTTTCTTTTTATCGCAAAATCCAGAAAATAATTTCAGTTTTAGACATAATATTTTTTATGACAATTCTATACTTTTAATATTACAATTTTATATTTTTAATGGCAATTCTAAGAGAGACAAAAAAACAAAAGAAAAAAGGGAAAAAGAAAAGAGATAAAAGAAAAATAGAAAGAAAGAGAATAAGAAAAAATGGAAAAGAAGATATGTTGTAAAAAAAAACAAAAAGTAATAATAGATAATAGATTAAAAATTGGTTATACATATTATGTTGGCAAAAAAATTATTGTTCGGAAAAAAATTGATATGTTTATTTTATTATATCCGGATATTATAAGTAGAGCAATATTTTCACTAACAATAAACTCTAATTTATATGCATTATTAAATTAATAGTGATATTTTTGTAAAATTTATTTGTACAAAATAATATTATTTTACTTAAAAGAAATATTAAAAAATATATTTAAAATATGCTAAATAGTTGTTTTAGAATTTTCTATAAAAATAATGATATAAAAAATTATATATCAGCTAAGAATAAAAACTCATGCAAATTTAAATAGAAATATTTTAATTAAAAAAACAATTTTTTTATAAATTTATAATATTTTTAATTTTCATAGTATACACATTCACGATGCTCTGAATATTTTTATTTTTTGAAATTAAATTTAATAAAATAAAATTACTAACATAAAATTTCTTTTACAATTGATGAGAGTTATAAAAAAATACATACATTAATTGAATAATAATAAATAAATCCGTCAATTTTATTGTGGAAGTTTATATAGTTTTATTTCCTCAATTCCTTTCTCTCTTTTACCGTTATCATTCAATTAATTATTATATCGTTTGATTATTTACTTAGAAATTACTCAAATGCGATTTTCTTATTTTTCCAGACGTGCAAATAGAGTACAGCCAATAAACACGACCTGCAGGATTCGATCAGAAAGGCCATGTCCACCAAATAAATACAGAACACCCTCCGGTGTTTGCAATAATGTGAGACATCCTGCTTGGGGTGCCAGAGGTTCTCCGTTTCTTAAATTACTACCATCAGCATATTCGGATGGTAAGAAAAGCACATGCTATATTTTTATGAGAGCATTTTGCTTAGAATAAATATTAAATGTAATCGCTTGTATATGATAGTATTTTATAATATTTTCTGAATAATTTCTTTCGCACAATATTATACTTTTTATTTATAAATATTATATATAAGAATTTATTTTATATGGAGAGAGAATCTCTTCTCTTATATAATATTAAAAGTAACAATTGTAGTAATTTATGTAATGAATAGTCAACATATTATTTAACATTTTTAATTAATATTTATTTCAAATTAATATTCATTAATATTCATCAATAGTCAGTTTCCGGTGTTTGGTTTTTTAATTCAAGAGCACGATTATCGAATGGTTAATAATTGAGTTTCTACAATATACAGAAGTAGAAGAATATAATTATAAATAACTATAAATAAAAGGAGATGGTTTTAATTGATTTAAATATTAATTGATTGATTATCAAATTAAAATTACATATATTGCAATACAGTAAATAAATACTATTTGTCGATTATATAGCTGTGTCTAATTGTTGGTCTATACTAATATGTTTGAAGCTTACTAATAATGTATCGCTCACCGATAATTACTCGGTCTTTTAACGCGGCCTTCTTCTAAAACTGCAACGCTCTCTCGCATATATATTGATGTTAATATTAATTTAAATACAGCTTTAGTAAAAATTTTAAACCTTTAAAATTTATTTTCATGCATGAATGACAGTTAGTTAATATTTAGGCGATATCTGTATTCTTAATATTACTGTATGCTTTTAGTATTCTTATTTACAATTAAAATTCTTTGCGATTATTATATTAAAAGGGAAAAATAAAGATTAAGATATTAAGACGTACACATAGCACTTACGTATATGTATATATACAGGGAGCTCCCGGTATCTTGGAACAAAGTAAATCTATAAATAGATCTCGTTAAACTGAATTAAAAAACTCTATACCATTTTACAATAAATTACGTAAAATTTCGAGTTATTAATTAAAAAAGATTGATCAATGTGCGTGGCAAGAAGCCGCGCGCGTATGCATGTGTATGTGTGTGTGTGTGTGTGTGTACACATACATTTGTGATATTTTTTAATTGTATTAAATTCTATATAAATTTAAATTGTATTAAATGTATTTAAAATTATTTTTTCATATATAATAACAGCTAAAATAGTAGGTTTATGAAAAAAATGCATATAACTTTTTTTGTATAGTTTTTCAGCGGCTTTATTTTCTGCTTAAAATTGTTTTCTCAAATCAATATTTTCGGAGATAAAAAGCATTAAAATTCTTTTGTTAATAACTTTTTAATAAACAACGAGCGACGGCTAAAACCTTTTGGATGTAACCTAGGACAGAGACCTTGACAACATATGTCAAAGTCAAGGTAATCGAGGCGTGCTTCCTTCATCGACACATTTACCCGAGAGAAGAATTAAAGGAATGAATTCGGGCTGCCTGTGCATTACATCAGTTACGTCGCTAAATATTCGCAGAATATTGCCAAAAAAATTATTTAAGTACCTAGAAGTACATAGTATGCTTTTTGAACATTTATTAAAATGAATACACTCGCAGTTCGGTGAATGTCCGTTAGATATGAGCGTTCGGAGTTCGGCGCTCCGAATAATTTTGAATGATTGTAGCTAGGAAACTATAGGTTTGGCGAAAAAAATTTTTTGAATAAAAGTGACTTCTTTTTCAATGTAGAATGCATTAATATTAATTTTTTGGGAGAGTGCAATTTCAAAAAACGGAGTTTGGTGCACTACACCTCATTAGGGGGTAATTGCGGAAAATAAAAAGATCCATGTGAAAGAGCACATCGAACCAAGAAAACCATTAAAAGCACATCGAATCTAAAATCATTAAAATCCATTCAGCGATTTCAAAGATAGCTGTGACACTTTATTTGACTCACCCTGTATATATATATATATATATATATATATATATATATATATATATTAATCTTAACAGGCAAATATTTTGAAAAATATGCGAGATACGAAAAAATGTTTCAGACAAAAGTTATATGAATCAAAGAATTAGGCTCTATATGTATTAAACAACACGATAAGAAATTAGCAAATAAGAGCCATCGCGGATGGTAGTGCGTAAAATTTTTCTTAAATTATTCGCGAAAATTTAAACATGCACATGGCATATACATACATTTTACTTGGTGCATTTACCAAGATATAGATTCTCATTTTTGAGAATTCTATAAACCCCTCTTTACTCCTCTAAAGAGACGTAGACGAGAAAAATATCGGGACGAAGTCGTTGAATCGGGAATCGAACCCGAGTCTTTCGCTCGTCCGGGCGACTGAACTATTCAGCCCCACACCGACATCTTTCTCGTCTAATGTTAATAAAACTATGGAGATAATGAGAACGCGATCTTTTCAGCTCCGTGTGAAATTAATAAATCAAAGAATTAGGCTCTATCTGTATTAAACAATACGATAAGAAACTAGTTATATGATTTTAAAGGAGACATAAGATGCTGTTTTTAATTTGATCTTAAATAGTTACTTGAAGGTCACGTGAAGGTCACCCTAAATTTTTTTAATGGAACTGCCTATTTTTTATTGCATATTCTTGCAGCTTATCCCGAGAGCTTTTCAAAACACTATAATGAAGTATTTTTCATTAAATACTTTCCGAGTTAGGTTGAGGCTTGAAGTAATTTCTTAATTTTACATAAACCATAAAATATATCTTATAAAATATTCATTTTTCGATTATCTTATCTTAATACTTTTATGCACAAAATAATGTGAGAAATCGATTGGTGTAAAAAAAAATACACAACATTGTTTCGGAGAAAAAATATGTAATTTGCAATTAACAATTACATATTTTTTCTCAAAAATAACTATGTTTTTTCTTTCCTTCGTGATCTTTAAACGACTTTTCAAGGTCAAACCAATGACACTATCTTATGGCCCCCTTCAAGTCATACAACTTTTGTTTGAAACATTTTTTTTAACACAAAGTGATATCAAGATATTTGACTCATAAGAATAAAATGGAACATTGTGTGCGTGCGTGCGTGCGTGCGTGCGTGCGTGCGTGCGTGTGTGTGTGTGTGTGTGTGTGTGTGTGTGTGTGTGTGTGTGTGTGTAATATATATATATATATAATACATTTCTCTGAAGAGATTTTTATTTTGATGATAATTAACTAAATATTTATAATATCGGGAAGGAATCCCATAAAGTATTGTAATATCACTAATATTCTCGCGATTGCGTGACTCCGATATCGAGAATGGAAAGTGAAAATTGGAACACGCGCGTGCTAACTCAACATTACACGAAAGCGAGCCTAGAGCCATTTCGACGAGCTCGTTGGCACAGCCGACACGACCTCCCGAGCCTTAGAAAATGTGGATTAACATGCAGGAAGACGTGCGTGTGCTCAGGAGTCCGTTGAAATAGAGAGTTCCGCGAGTCCCTCCCACTTGCATCTACATTAATTGCGACATCGGTCCGCGAACACTTGCGAATACTATAAAATAATAGAGGATTCTACTTGAGATCCGCGATTGTATGTTACGTGTTTGTACGTGCGTAACACTATTTCTCTCTCTCTTTCTGTTTTTTTTTTCCTCAAAGACCTCTGTCATTTTGATGATTTCTCTCTTTAGCTCCGCCATAAGTTTCTTCACGAAAATGTTCACGGAACTTTATTTTACTATCGACTTCTTGTTTACGCGTGATATTTATTTTATAATTCTATTATATTTTCTATTTCTTATTTACATATTTATTTTTGAAATATGATGTATTACTTATCTTACGATATCGCGTGTAAATGAATCGCGGATAATAAATTTAGAAATAAGCAAAAAAATAATTTTTTTACTTATTTCTTATAACATATACACAATAGAATTTAATATATTAAAGAAATCGAACTTTATGTTACATAAAGTGAGTGAATAAGATGCTTCTGTATGCCAAATCATATTTACAAGTGTCAACAATCAATTTTGTACGTAAAAATCGATATTATCAGAAGAGAATATTATGAGTTGTTTTAACTTCAATTAATTCGATCTCTGATAACTTTCGATATATTTTTGTGATAATTATAAGCAAGAAATTAAATCCAAACTCTCGAATTATTCGGGATTAGATCTTTCAGTAATATTTAACTCTAGCAGAAAGAGAGAAAGAAAGGCAGCACAACTGGCGCCCATCTCCAGGAAAAGAATCCAAATGAAAATATAAAAGTGAGGAGATCGAAGAAAGTGACTGTGGTCTTCTCAGTAGTGATTGCCAGATGGTACCTTTCAACGTCACTGACCGCAAAATACCTCAATGGTCATTGAACGTCTTTCTGTAAATTTTCATTGCGTTTTTATGCTAGAGTAATCATCCGGAAAGATATGCCTTGTCATGTATTAGGAGAAAAAAATTATTTTGGATATTCCAAAGAATCAATCGTATAATACACACACACACACACACACACACACACACACACACACACACATACACACACACACATATATATATATATATATATATATATATATATATATATAAAGTTGAATCACGGCCACCTTAAATGCAAATTAAAAACATTTTCGATTAATATTCAGCTATTATATCTCTATTTGATTACGCGAGAATAATAAATTAATCACTTGTACTTTATATTTACAATAAACTATTTTGTATTGCAACGTATTCTTACATTTTGTAAAAAGTACAAAAATATTACGGCGGACTCATGATGATATATAAAAAAAAATTTCAAAATTTGTGTATGCGCGTGTGTGTATCTTTATAAACATGTGCAAATTGCTGTAAGAAAAGTGCAACTTATTAAAACAATTTATTTCAAATTCTTGCAGATATCCTTTGACGTTCGTTCGTGAAATAGATAAATCTTTCGCTAATGAAAATAATGGAGACATGTAACTTTTTTACACCGTCGATCCTCTAACAAGAACGAAATGTCTTTGAGTTGCGCGCATA